GAGAAAGGACACATGCACACTGGGCTACAATATTTCAGTGGTCACACCAGAATAAGCATCTGAAGATGGTCACTGCCCTACACAGCAATGCAACCACAATTTTTTTTCCCCTGAGATTGTCCCTTCAAATGTCTGTTCACACTGCTTTCCTGAGCAGGAAAAGGAAATTGGCTGGTTTTCATGCAAAATGTCTACTGCCTCACATTTTCTTCAGAGGTATACAAATAAATCCCTTCCCTACAATTCCCAAAAATTTTTCCACATGCAGAAAATCCCACGTTCTGTCTAGAAGGACAGATTACAGAAATTTCACCACTTAATAAACTGCTTATCTTCAAAAAAAAAACCCACCATGGCCTATTATCTCAGCTGTAACTGCCAAGACACAGCAAAACAAACTGTAAGAGCTTCAGAAGACAGAGCATCTGCTGAAGGAGTCCAAAGTCATTTCCAGTTCTCAAAAACAAGAGTTATGTCAACTCACTTGCCTTACACAATTATCTGAAGCAGCCCATTAGAGAGGTTCAAGATCATTAGTGAACACATAATAAAATATTCCTTAAGATAATCACTGGAAAATTTTATGACTTTACCAAGATTATTTTAATCTTGGCTAATCTTACTTCAAGCAGATCTCCTTAAGTCCAGTTATGTTCCTGAGCTCTAAAACATCTGGTGAAAACGGAAGAATTACTTTGACTCCTTTTAAGACCCTGGTGTCAAAGGGTCAGATTATTTTCACTTAATACAAGGCTATGGCAAGACTCGTACTGTAGATTTGTTCGTCTGACCTTCTGAAGCATTTCTGGGAGTTATTTGAAGCTCTGCGCGTCTCGCCTATCACCTGTGCTCCCACCATTTGGGCATGGGAGACCTGCACCACCAGCTGGGTAAATCCAGCGCCTTTTGGCTTTCCGAGCCTTGCTCTTAAATTAATTACCTGATCTGCTGCTTCTTGGCCAAACCTGCCCTTTGGCCAGCAAAGCGTCGGGAAGCCGACCCGCGGCAGCTAGGTGAGTTGGCGAGGGAACACCTGCACCCTTTGTCGGAGCTCTGGGGGACCTTTGCGGGACACTTACGGAGGGGATAGCGGCGCGGTTATTTAGGGATGGAGAACCCCCAAAGGGAAGCCGATCCCACGCGTTTCGGGTGCCCAGAACCGGCGGCAGGCAGGTCCCGGGGACGGAAGGGCCCGGCGGGACGCTGCCCGCAGCACCGCGCCGGCGGCGGGCACCGGCGGCGCAATCCCGGCGGGCGGGGGGGCTGCGGCGGCTCCGAGCCGGGCGGGGCGGACCGGACCGCGGCCGGGCTCGGCCGCCTGGGCCCCCTCGGAACACGGCGCCCCCGGGTCCCGCCGCCCGGGCAGGGACGCCGGCTCCGGGGGCCGGATGGGGCCGGCCCCGCCACTCCGCGCTCCCCTCTCGGGCCTGCAAGGCTCCGCAGGCCGCAGCCCGGGCAGCCGCCCCCCGCCCGCCCGCGGCCGCCGCCGGTCACATCCCGGGCGGCGGCCCCACCACCCGCTCCGGCGCGCCCGCCCCGGCCGCGCACTCACCCGCGTCCGTCCCGGGAGATCCGGCTCCTCGGCGCGGGGCGACAGCGAGGACCAGAGCAGCAGCAGCCCCAAGAAGCTGCCCGCCAGCAGCACGGCGCGCAGCAGGAAGCCCAGCTTCAGCCGCATCCTCCCGCCCGCCCTCTGCCTCCCGCCGCCGCGCAGCAGCGCCCGGCCCCGCGCACCGGCCGCCTTCCGCCCCCCGCGGCACCGCGCGGCACGGCCCCGCCGCCGCTCCCCCGCCTCCCCCGGCCGCCGCTGCTCTCCGGCAGCCGCCCGCCTGCGGAGGCTGTCCTCTCGCCGCCGCACGTACAAACTTTTTTTTTTTCCTTCCTCCCCCCTCTTTTTTTCTCCCTCCCCCGCACCGCCCCGGTAGGCTGCGGGCTTGTCTCCCCGCCGGGCGCAGCGGCCGGGGTGATGCGGAGCAGGAAGTGGCTGCCGCGGGAGCCGCGCGGTTCCACGTGGCCGCCCCGCACCGGGGCGGGAGCGCCTCGCCCCGGGGCGCCGCTCGCTCCTGCCCCCGCCCCGGCTCGGCGCCGTGCGCTCCCGTGCACCTGCTCCCGCCCGGACCGCGGCTGCGGCCAGCCGCCCGGCAGCCCTCCGGGAAAGGGGGAGCCCTGGGACAGCTCGACTGGCGTTTCGGCTTTCCCGGCTGGGTGGGCAGCGCTGCTTGGGCACCGATTTGTAAAAATTAAGGTGCAAACGTTTAACTTCAGGGGCTGTCGTATAGGCTTACGGTAACGCAGGCCCATTAATTGTTGTGTGCAGCCTGGGCAGAGTAGACCTGGAAAGTCAACAGATTTTTTCTTTGGGATAGCAGATTAAGTACAAGATTACAGAGATGCTATCAGCCCCACACCTTGTGTGTTATTTTGTTACTAATTTTCTGCACTAAAAGTTAGGCATCCTATTTCCTCCTTTGAAGGAATGCCACACGTGCACATACACACGCACAGAAACCTGGTAATGTAAGCTCTCCAAAAACCAGAGTGCTTCCAATGTAATATACTATTTTTGTTTTTTTCTCTGTATTCAGCACTATCCCCTTGCTCCGTTGTTTTTTCATTCTATTTCTTATGTGCACCGGGAGGGTATCGGATCCATGGATCTTGAACTTTCAATGATAAGGACTGCAGAAACCAAACAGGATATTACACCTTGAACAGGATAACTCTGGAGGAAAGAACTGCCCACACCTAAGTGATCTTTGTAGTTTGACACACCTAGCCACAGAAGTATTTGTTTATTCATATAACTTGTGCTATAGCACCGTGTCTGTCTTTTTTTTTTCCTTCTCTATTCTGTAAGGTATGAGACATAGACAAATGCAGTGTTTAAGGCATGAGCAACAGCTCTAATCCTTACAAGTGTTTGCACAGTCCTGTGACTTCCACAGGTGCACAGAACCGTTTTCCTCAAAGCCCTCTCCCTGTCTGCAGCTGCAGCAGCCACACGTATATCCCAACACAAAAATTTAGGTGACTGTTTTCAGGTAGATAGCAACATCTGCATAGGGCTGGGAGCGACTTTTAGGATTTTTTGGATGGGAAACACATAGAGTTGAGGTGCCCAGGTCTGAACAGATCCCCTGGCTTGCTGAACCAAGAAGGAAAAGGCAAATTGGGCTGTAAACTGGGAAGGCTGATAGGCTGTCAAAGAAGTATAGAAGCATCTCCCCAACTTTTCCTGCAGTCTTCAGTGGAGACCTTACAGCAGCAAACAATGCTCTTTTCTCATGTTGTTTCATTCGTCATTTTTGGCATCCCTTTTTAATGCTCTGTGCTGTTGCTCTCAGCACACTCAATAAAGCAGGAAGAAAAATAAAGTTAGTTTTAGCACTGCATGGAGGGTACAGCCATGGGATGTGTTACTGCTCTGCTGCTGCTTCTCAGAGCTGAGAGTGGTGGGGACAGAGCATCTGTGATTTCACAGAGAGCTACACCCTTGGAAGATGATGAAGAGCTTTGTCATTTTGGTTTTACATACCCGAAGTCTCGCTGTCAGTGAACGCCCCCATTAGCTATCCGAGGACAATGGCTTCTGTACCAGGAATTTAAAACCCCCCTGCTTTGTTTTTTTTCCTGAAAGAGAAGTAGCTGATGCCCACTGGGAGGCAGTACGGGCCAATGGACCCGTGTTCATGCCAGCCAGCCCCTCTCTCTGCCGGGGCCACCAATGACAGCAGATTGGAGAAGGCGTCATGCTTCTCTTTGACCATTATAGCTTCCTGCCCTGATTCCTCAACAGCAAGCATCATCTACCTTTTTCTCTTCTCACGCTCAGGCCATGCAGTCTGATTCCAGAAGTATTAGGTTAATACTGACCTTGGAAGTGTTTTATTTCAGTTGTATCCTTGTTAAGGATGTGCTGAAGTTTCAAATTCTTACCGTTAAGAATTAAGAACTGTAATTCTTACAGTTAAGAAGCACTTACAGTTCCTCCTATGTAGTAAAGTGCCTAAGAAGACCTATAGAATATATTTTCACTCTTGTTGAATTTGTATCAGCTAAGGCAGAAAATTCAAATTAAATTTGGCTTTGGATTGCCTCCAGTACTATTCAAAACCACTTTTCAAAGTCTTTTACAACCTGGAGAGAAAAAGATGGAGGGTTAAACATAAGCTTTAGTCCCACTTAGTGACAAAATGTAAGTAAATATAAATGTATATATAAAAACATAAGTATATATAAAAGTAAAAGAAGTACATAATATATAAATAAAGATAAACCATGATGCTTTTACTATAAAAACAGTATTAAAGCCAAACACAAATCTGTTATTAGGGAATTATTCAAATCTCTGTTAGACTGATATTTAGTCATTCAAATGTTTCAAACAGGCTGGCAACTGTCACAATGTTTGTATCTGTATGTGGACACCTACTGCTTGTCACATAGAAATCATATGTTCACTTCTCCATGTATGACTCCAAATAAACAGGCAATGGCATTTAAGTCATTACAAAGCCTTGCTGCTCTTGAACCAGAGACCTAGGATGACCTGGAGGTGAGGTATCCAATTACCAATCCCCTAAGCCACGCAGTTGCCTTATTGCTGGGGATTTGGGGGATGGTGTTGGGAGCAGGGTCACTAACCAGTGTCAAAACCTCATGCAGTTGTTCACATAGGAGAAGCATCTGGATGTGGATCTACCCCTTAACTCTTGTCCTGAATATCTGGCCACAAAAAACGACTCTGCTTGTTCAGAACACAATGTCTGCAAGGAAATTCCTACAGACTTTTGTACCTCTCAAGGTGAAAATCATGTGTTACGAAGTTCCATTGTACAACAGGTTGCTATGAGGGCTTCACTCTACATAAAACCTCACATTTTGCTCGTTTGAGAGTTGTCTTCTATCAACACATAGACAATCTTTGTAAAATCTGCTCTTCAGAGACCAAATTTTCCTTCTACTTAGTGCAGAGAGCACAAACACAACTATTTTTTTTTTTTTGTCGTGTAAATAGGTTTGAAATTAAATCTTTGAAATTAGCAATGGTGTGCTGGTTTTGGCTGGGGTGGAGTTTATCTTCAGAGTAGTTGGTATGGGACCACATTTTGGTTTTGGGCTGGAAAGGATAACACCAGGATGTTTTGGTTGTTGATGCACAGGGCTTGCCCAGAATCAAGGCCTTTTCTGCTCCTCACCCTGTCCTGCCAGACAGGAGGCTGGGGGTACATGAGGAATTTGGAGAGGACACAGCTGGGACAGCTGTCCCCCACTGACCCAGGGGATGTTCCAGACCATAGGGCACCATGGTCAGTATATAAAGTGAAAGAAGAAGAAGAAGGAATGGAGGGGGACATTTGGAGTGATGTTTGTCTTCCCAAGTCATCATTAGGTGTGATGAAGCCCAGATTTCTTGGAGATGGCTGAACCCGCACCTGCCTATGGGAAGGAATGAATGAGTTTCTTCTTTTCCTTTGCTTGTGTGCATGGCTTTTCCTTTACTTATTTAAATATCTTTATTTCAACCCAAAACTTTTTGTACTTTTGCCCTTCCAGTTCTCGCCCACATCCTACTGGGGGTGAGTGCGTGAGGGGTGGTGTGGTGCTTAGCTGCCAGCTGGGGTTAAACCATGACAAATGGGTTCTAGACCTCAAACAGTTACACTTTCCTTAGATGTTTCCAGATATAACTACCAGCACTTCATCAAGTGCAGTATTTCCCTACATGATATACTCTAGGCTTCATGTAACAGCAAACCTGGTCATGCTTTGATTAAAGAAAGTGCTGGAAAATGCCAGCTGGCAGAAAGTAACTTGCCTTCCTAAATAGAATACTCTAAACACAAGCAACACCTTTGCTCTAGTGAAACCTTCCAGCTCCATGTAATCTCCTTTCCCATCCTGACCTTGCATTTAGATGGTCATCTCTGAACAAAGCCTTTGCTGTTTTCTGCACTGTTCCTTTGCATCTAAGGTGAGCTGGCCATTGACACTTACAGAAATCTTGTGCAGTGTCTTAGCCCTACAGCAGATTTATTAGTACTGCATATCAGAGTCTTGGCATGTCCTGGTGGAATCCAAGACACACCTTCCCTAGTTTTCACCTGAGAAGGTAGGAACTCATGTGTGGCTGAAGATGCCTGACCAGATCTCCCTTACTCTATTTTAAGCTCATGCTCCCTTCTGACATCACCTGCAGCACTGAAGGATTTGAGGAGAGATTCTGGATTAATGAGGTGGTCACTGCTAGGAATCATCCAAAGGTTACGGTTTGGCATACATTATGATGAATATAAAGTTATGCCCTAAATATTTACAGTGTGTGTATATTTAATCTCAGAGTTGACAAAAAGGAACTGAAATAAAGGATTTTAAATTCTTCCAAATTTTTGAGATTGTTTTAAAAGTACTTCAATCAAACAAGTGCCTCTAGGGAGTACTTAATATATGCTTTTGCAACTTAGACTATGATTGCTTAATCTTCACTGTTTTGTGCTCATGATCTCCAGTCTTTAGTACCATTCTTCCTGTAATTCTCAATTATCCCTCATTTTTTAAGCCAGCAGTTTAGCCATGCATGTCCCACCAAAAATTATCCTTCACTATTTCAGCATTTGAATAGATGCTTTTGGCAGAGTGCTGTTCGCCTCCTTTGCTTTTCCTGTCACTTTTATGAAGAATGTGTTATGAAGTTCCTGTCATTACATTTAGCCCCCATACTCCTGTCATGCCTACTTAGTCTGTTTTATTCCTGCAGTATCACCTCCAGCTCCTCTTCTCTTTTCCCACACAGCAACAGTAAGCAAGCTCATTATTTATTGTACTGGTCTGGATTCTACCAATGTCCTGAAGATTGGAATGTAAAATAATTTTTTTTCCAGCTGCCCTTTCTGATAATGAGTACCAGTCAATGTTTATGAACTATGTTGTATTATTAATACTGCTTTTGTCTAGAAAAAATTAAGTTCTTTTGCACCTACAAGTCCTAAAAATATCCACACTGATGAGTTTTGACAATCCTTGACAGATTTAGATCTCATTAAAAGAGTGGATGGGATGGTCTGTTATGTGGGCGTTTCATTTAAGTATGGGAAGAAATTGAATGATTCTGAGCATGGTTTTTCCATTTAAAAATTAATATATATATATTTAAAATTACTTTTCAGAAAAACTTACCTGTATTTTGAGCCAGACAAAATATGAGTAGTCATATACTCAGACCAGTCTCAGGTCTGGAAAATCTCCTTTTCCAAGGTGCCGTATTTCTGAACATTTCAAACAGAAATTAAACTTGCATCATTTCCTGAATCTAGAGCAGAGAAAATTGAAATAGGTTGCTGCAATTTCTGTTATGCTGAAAAAAATGAATGTTGTAAACACCCACAATTTCAGATGTTGTGTTATTTTTCAAAAAGACTTTTAGTGGAGTTAATTTGATGAAATTGTCAGTCTGAACAAGAACAACAGTCACTTGGAGAGGAAAAAGGGAAAACTTTACACCTATAGATTAATTAGATTTTTGTATTTCTTAGGAATTTTGTTATTTAGCGATAAACTGTTAACAGTTTACCAAATAACTGGCAACTTGAGTATTATAAATTCATCATTTATCAGCTACAAACCTTCAATAAGTTTAATACAAATCTTTTCAGGATATATTCTGCCATGTTGTTCAAAATTAAACAAAACCTAACTGCTGAAGATACGAAGCATTTGTAAAGCATTAAAACAGATAAATAAAGTCAACATGTCAAATTTGCACAAGATAAAGCCTTATAAAGTTTCACAGGCAAATAAAAAAAGACATTCAAAATTGATTAAATGCAAAAGTGTGGATGTACAACAGTTATTAGATGCTAAAACCAGGATATGTTTTTTGTTCCTTATCTTAGTCACCATTTCAGAAAGAGTGGCCTGCCTCATTTTACATAAGTGCATAAAAGGTCCATGAATAATTACTGGAAAAGATCAGGCCAGTAGATAGATTTATACACTGAATAACACTGTAGAGTTCTGCCAGACTGATTTTCAAACTGGGGTCCTGGGGAATGGGAATTCTGTCTGCAACAGAGAATGATAGCAAGACTACTGCTGTTAGCCATATAAAGTTTGTGACACATATCACAAATTGGTAACTGGAAGTGAAGGATCTTAGTAGCAGTGAATCATAAAAGCATTGCTTTTGAAATGCAATGAATTCTTCTTTTGAAGCTCCGAGCTTTCTTAATTCTTTGCAGATTTTATAAACTGTGAGTTTGATGTTATTGGTGGTTGGAAACAAACACCACAAGGCTGAGCAGCCTCTTTTCTTAGTAAGCCGCCTTTTGGAGAGAAATTCTCCAACCGTAGATTATATCTATTATGTATCGTCTGACACCAAGTTGTATTGATTAGTAATTCAATGAAATAGTCCTGTTATAAAAGGCATGTTTTGTGGGAATTACAGGCAATAGCAGCTGTTGTGTCATAACACTGCACACATTCAAGGCTTCTACTAAATATAATCATAATGAAATAGATTTCATAAGAGCTTTAGTACACCATGTAGTGCAGAACTCTGGGGAAGTTTTCCCTTTTCTCAGGTTCAAAGCTCCAGACAGATATACCTACTTGGTATGAATTAAATTATTTCTAACTTTTATATCTTTAGCTCAGGTATCAATGTAGATAATTCTTTCAATTTTTAAGTATGTTTTCCATATTTTTCCCAAACTGAGAGCTCAACCAAAAAAGAAAAAAGAAACAAACAAAAAACCCACCAACAAAAACGTCCCCCTGCAAAAACCTCAAACAATCCCAAACAAACCAAACTCTCCAAAAAACCCCAAACCCAACCAACTTTAGAGAAAAAATTATTAGACATGTCAAAAAGACATTGAAATGAAAGTGAAGAATTGTAATAAAGTCATCATCTTGGCAAGCCAAACTCCACTGCTTTTCAGTCACCCATGACAAGTAAGAGTGATAATGGCAGGACCTCATCCATCTTCAAATACTGCAGGTTTCTAGCTCACTCAGCTCACTGCCACTCACCTCCCTTTTTCTAATATATACCAGTGTGCTGGTTTTGGCTGGGGAGTAAATTTTCTTCCCAGTGGCTGGCATGGGCTGTGTTTTGGGTTTGGGCTGAACACAGGGCTGATAATGTGGAGATGTTTTTGTTATTGCTGAGCAGGGCTTGCACAGAGCCAAGACCTTTTCTGCTTTTCATCCTGCCATGCTGGGGAGGAGACACAGCCAGGACAGGTGACCCAAACTGACCTCCAGACCATATAACATCATGCTCAGTATATAAAGTGGGGGAAGAGGGAGAAAGGGAGGCACGTTTGCAGTGATGGTGTTTGTCTTCCCAAGTCCCATTAGATGTGATGGGGCCCTGCTCTCCTGGAGATGGCTGAACATCTGCCTGCCCATGGGAAGCAGTGAATTCATTCCTTGTTTTGCTTTGCTTGCATGCTTGGCCTTTGCTTTCCCTCTTAAACTGTTTTTTATCTTTTTATTATTTTGTTCATGAGTTTTCTGGCTTTTACCATTCTGATTCTCTCCCTGATCCCACTGATGGGGAAGTGAGTGAGTGGCTGTGTGGGGCTTGGCTGCTGGGGTGAATTCAAGACAAATTGCAATGAACTAAAAACTAGTTGGCTGAGTAGTCAAATTAAAAACCTTTCTAAATTCCCAGTTTGTGCAATTAGCAAGAAGCAGATCTCTAGACTGTACTTCTATTTTTACTCTGGCTTAACTAAATCTTTGTTCTGAGTAGTTTGATCAAATCAGGGATATCTCTTAGGTTTAGATGTTAGAGTTTACAGAGTAAGTGGGAAAAGGTTGATTTACAGTTTTGTCCTTAAAAAAAATTACTTGTTTCAACTTGAAAAGCATATTTATAGAGCAGAAGATGAATCCAATTAACATTATTTCAAATTAAACTGAAGAATCACTGATTTACTGTTAATTCCTATTCACTGATCTTTTGAGTAATGAAAGCTGCTCCTGTAAACCTTAGGCTGAAGTGAGGTTTATTTCGTTCCTGATTTACTATCAACAACTCTGACATTTGTATATATCCCAAAATGAACACAGTATCTGTGTAATTTATTGTTTCTTTCTTTTTCCTCCAAATGGTGCTTTGGGACAAAGAAGAAATGATAGGAAAAATTCATATTCAATTAAAGTATGGTGATTTACAGTAGGACTTTTGTAGACTGTTGGCTAACGGCTGGAAAAACCTGGATGACTTCTTACTGACTAAATACAGAAGCGGACATGTCTTCAAAACATTTTAGATTTAAATAAGTGGACTTATGAGTGAAAATGAATGCAACAATTTGCCTCTCTTTCAGGTGTATATCCAAACAGTCTCTCCAAACTTGCCCTGCTAAGTCTTTGGTGTCAGGGCTGATTTGAAGAAAGCAGGAGATAGAGGCACTGTTCCTCCCAACATTTAGGTCAGCTCTGATACTCTCTCGTGTGTATCTAGGACATGTCTAATTAATCCCAGAATATTCCATCACTGCTGGATTACCTTTGTCAGCTTCTCCCTCAGAAATCCGGCAACAAAGATTTTACCTTAGGTGAAGATTTTCCCTTTTCTAAAGACAAATGGGAGTGTTTTTTTTCATTGTATAACTACATAATGTTTATGCAACAATTTACAGAGCCCTTAGGATGTAAAGTAGTAGAGGCGAATAGCTTCACTTGAAATTACTGGAATGTTGCCAGATTTAAACAGAGACAAGATTTCACCCCCAGTTGTTTTAAGGATGAAGTTTATCAGCTTTCTCATCTCCAAGTTTGAATCTGCTATTCAAAAGAATCATATACTTTTTCCAAGCCAAATGTGAATACAAAGTGTTTAATCAAACTGAGATCAGAAAAGATGAAAGATCTAAAAAAACACAATAAAAATTCCACCTAAAAGCCTACTTGAGATCAGCAAAAGTTAGGGAACTAAATTGTAGTTTTGTGCTTTAATCTGCAGCCTGCAGTCTGCCATGGTCATTACTAGAATTACATAAACAGCTTGCAAATACATATAACAGCTCTGGGAGGTGCTTAAATCAAGAAAAGTCAACACTGTGGAGCAGTGGATATGCAATTGGTGGCTGCTGAAAGATAACCCAGAGCACTTACTGAACTAAGGACACACTGTGTCCATGTTCTGTGTATCATGATAGCAAAGCACAGAATCACAGCACTAAAACAGACTATTAGTTAGCAATGCAAAATTTATATCCAATTATGCAAGGTGCTGGCTGTCTCAAGCAGTATCACATTTGAATATTGTGACTTTTGGAATCAATGCTGTGTAAACATGCATTCAGCTGTGCAAAGAGCCAGTGGACTTTTTCTTATACCTGATGGTAAAGTACTACATGACAAGACAACTTATTACCTGCAGAACAAGAACAACCTGTTATTGGAGATGTATTAATATGAACTTTAAAACACAGGCAAAGAACAGCCCAGGCATTTCTACAGTGGGTGGGGTATGTTTTATAACTACACCCTCCACTGCTCAATTTATGTCCTTGCAATCTCCTTTAGTTAAACACCAAAAGGATTTTCACTGCATTTTGTACAGGACTGTTGTCAAGACCTTCATTTAAATGCTTCTACTGGTACCTTCAGAATTATGTAATATTAAAAATGTAAATAAGATGCAGATTTTTCACATACTCATTTTCCTTTCCTATGTAAGTTGATTACTAAAGCAGGAAATGCTATTCATAAATGCTCATTACTAACACACTAAAAAATCCATACAGCAAAGCTTCTTTATGTTTTTTAACGTCAGTAGAAAAACAGTCAAATCAGTATCAGTTGTGAGTTTTGCTTAAGATTTACCTGCCCTCCACATGTGCAGCTGTGGGTCATTGACATATTTAGCACATGTGTATGAGAAGTCATCTTATGTTTTAGCTCATATTAGAAGGAGGAAGGCAGATTTGAGATGCAGGGTGAGTGCACCTGCAACAAAAGTACAATAGGTATATTGCAATCCATAGCCAATGCAGTGAAAGTGCCAAGTCCTGCTATCTTGCATTTAATGTCTTAGCCTGAATACACAGATAGGTAAAAAAATATTGCCATTTTGACAGGTGAAAAATGCACACTAGCTGGTGATATAATATTAAAACCACTCCAGCTTAGTGTCAGCCCTCACAATTCACATTTCTCTTCCACCAAGGTCCCCTACTATGATACTGGACTTCATCCGAGGAGGACTCACATCTTTTTTGTCATGGCCCAAATTTCTGGCTGTATTTAAGAATCCTTTAAGCATATGTGGCTCTGCCTGAATTTTGGTCA